CGCAGCTGGCTGGAGCCCACCAGCCGTTGCATGCAAGGGCAGTGATTTAAGGAAGTTGGTGTCAGACACACTTGGGAGTTAGGCCACCAGCAGGACATCAGCATGGCTGCTTCGTCTGCTGGACTTTGTGGTGCCAGCAACAAGCTGCTACCTGTGTTCCCACACACAACCCACCACCACTAGCTGGTCCATGAGGTGCTGCCAGATCGACCTTGCACAGCAGCTTCATTCCGATTGCAACGGGCTCTTAAGAACACGGAAGTAGGTGGTGTAGTGAGGAGCAGCAGCCCCAATAGGTAAGGTATTTGGTAAGGCATCTGCCTCTCTGGCAGAGCTCCCACCCCCATGCTGCCCAACTTAGAGCTGGGCCGGAGAACTGCATGGAAAAGGTGTGCCTGCAGTGTCAAAATCACCATTGGGAATGTGTGAACCCTTATAGCCAAAGATTGGTGGTGGGGTCTGCTAGTGCTTGGGAAGGCATAGGGGCAGCATGGGATTGCAGGACAATCTGACCAGCGTCCTCTGACATGCAGGGAGAAAACCCTGAACTATTACCAACAGATTTTAGTGGCAATGAAAGGAGCAGTTCATACTTCACATGCATTGCCAAAATTCAAGGCTGTTAGCAAACTGTGGAAGACTGTGCTTTGCCTATCAGTTTACTAGCCTGCTCAGAGAAATCATTCTGAAATAAGCTGTGGATGTAAAGTAACAGAATTATTCCACAAAAAGTCTCTAGTCAAAACAGGAAATTATTCCAGAAGAGCTGCCACAGAACAGGTGATTCTGGTGCAGACAAACATGAGATGCATCTTCCTAACCAGCAAGATTTTGACACAGCTCCAGTCAGACTGTACAATGGAGTTCTGTGCTTTTGCCACAGCAGGTGCCTTCCTTAGCATCTCTCACTTTCAAGCCCTTGCCTATGCAAATCTCCAGCAAAGACCTTTGAATATGATCAAGGTTTTCTAGCATCCTTAGAAGGGCAGGTATGCAAACATCCAAAAACTGAATTCAAGATAGGGCTTGAGAACAGTTATGGAGAAATAAGGATTTAAAAGAATACTAGAGAAGCCAAAAAATACGTACCGGAGGCAGGATAGCTCTTATCTCAACATACTGTATATTATCTTCATAGAGCTCCAACAGCCCCTGGTAGAAATAGGCCTTGAACACAGGTGCATAGCAGATAAGTCCAGAGGCAATGAGAAAGACTTCTTCAAATCTTTTCCAAATTAAAGTCTGAGAAGGGTAGGTGAGCTCAGGGGCATCTGTCACCAGGGTCAAGTTTCTCAGCAAGCTGTAGAAAAGGGTATAGAGAAGAGGAAGAAAGAGAAGAACAAACAAGACAGTTGGCTTTCAGCATGAAAAAAGCCACTGGCTAGCACCTAGGTGTTCATTACAGGAGAAAATAGATTTCCTCCAAGATAGGTGTGAGTTTTATTGTCAGAGACCAAGCTTTGCATACATGACACTCTCCCACCTGCATGCTCTAGGGTGTAGCATGGCAGTGGCTGTGCTGAAGGAGCCACGTGTTCTATGGGCAGGACCAAGAAAAGGTGCAAAGCCATTCCTGCCACAGTAAAGGACCAACATCTAACTCGGGGCCTGTTTGCACTGCTGTACAACAGGGATAACAATGACTGGTGCAACTAGAAAGCACTCAGGTAATTTTTCTGCCACCTATATTTACTCCTCTAATAGCTGACAGGTAAAAAGTCGTATGTTATCTGTTGAGTTACAAGCAAGGTAAGACTAGATGTTCAAAACCTGTCTTTACAAAAGAGTTACAAAAGCAAGTGTGATGTTTTCATATCATAAGAATTGCACTCTGCTACCCAGTGGTATCTTTAATCCAAAAGCAGGCTAGCACATTGCTCCTGGAGACAATATATTCTCCCAAACATCTTCAGTGTATGTAAAAAAGTTATGACACCCGTCCCTCTGTTCATCACCTAAAGGAAAACTGAGTCTCCGGGAGATGCCATGTACTGGGCCACCATCAACCTGCTTATCAAGCCTAGAACTTGCCTTGATGCCTTCATATTGTCAAAGTACATCATCTAATACAACCAGGGGGAAAATTATTGTGAATCAGAAATCCTTTTGCCCCGCCAATAGAACACACCTGATATCCTGCCTGCCTTGCTGATGACTTCTTCAGATTGTCTGCTGGGAAATGACTGGTAAGAATCACAGGTCCTGGTTTGTCCTTAATTGGAAGGAAGCATATGTACTTCCTCCATAGACTCAGCTCCTCAATAGAGTAGAAGCCTCTCTCAGAAATCCAGAGAGGCAGTGGGTAGTTTTATCAAGCAGAGTTTAAAGGAGCCCATAATTCCAAGATTATCTAGTTGTGGGTGACAGCTTGCGTTTAGGACAGGGTGAGCACCCGTGCCGCAATGTTGTCCTCTGACAAGCTGATAGTCTTCATCCCACCCAAAGCCTTGCCTCTGGCAGCAGCTCCCATCCCTCTGCTGGTGGCCACCTCAAGAAGAGTTCATAATAAATTTCTCAGGCTGGTGGGCAAAGTCTAAATGGCAATATGGGGGTGATTAAGTTCATTCCTGGGTGGACAAACTGAAGCCATTGCAGCAAGCTACAGAGCCAGTTGCTTGCAGGCACGTGGGTTTACTTAGCCTGGCCAGGCCTGATGCTTGTCTAGTGATAGGGGCTAAGCAGGTTCAGATAGAAATACCTTCAACCATGCTTCATCTTTCATTGGAGCATATTGTTTCCCCTCAATGACAGCTACTGATCTTTAATGATGTTTCTTGTTTGATGTCTTGGCCCCCATCCTTGTGCAGTGCTCTGCTTTGTTATATGAGTGGTGTGGGTTTGATTTGTGCTTTTATTATCTTCTTCCAGGAGGCTTCTGTGGATGGAATTAAAAACCTTCCTCTTACAGATGTAAAATGTGATCTGGTCCAAACTCATAAACTGACACATCCCAGGCAGGGACATCCTTTTTGAGTCCCTCCATCCTGCCCATAAAACAGAGCCCATCCCCCAGCATTTGCCTGCTCTTTCACTAAGGATGCTCTTTCAGTGGCTGCAATTTCGTGTCTTCTGTTAATTTGAGGCACTCGTACCACATTAAGGATGAGATTTTAAATGCTTAACAGTCAGGAGAATTCAGACCTAAGGTTTCCACAGCAACTTCACCTCTGCTTTCCTGCGCATTACAATAGGGGCTTTGGTGCCATTATTATCACAGGATGCTGGGCAACCTCAGCTACTGTTCAGCAACCCATGCATCCAAAGGGGACCGAGCTGGACCATGGCAGGGGCAGGCAGTGGGGAGCACAAGTCGTGGGAGACACCACAGCATCACCCTAGAAACCAGGAATGCAGGAGCCGGGGGCATCCTAAAGGCTCTGATCCAGCTGCCGGAGCTGTGGTGGAGGCCGGCTGCCAGCAGAAAGGGTGTGCTGCAGCTTGGCGGGAGGGGAGAGGAGGTTTTGTGTGGGAAGAGCTGGTGAAAAGAGACGTTTCCACTCTCCTCCTGGCCAAAGGGCAGCTCCCCGCCAGCCCTGCACACCGGAGGAGAGCACCTGCCCAAAGCAAGAGCTGAGTGGGGCTGTTCCCACCATCCCTTCAAGCACTGAGGGAAAAACCTCCCCATGGATCAAAAGGCCATGCAAGCCTGTTCTCGCCATCCTGCACAGCTTCGTTTCAGATAAGGATGGGTGGTTAGTCAGGCTCCCACCACTTTCTCCCCTTGTCCTGTGAGAACTCGGCTTCTCCAGCAATCAGTGCACACAGGGCTCCGCTCCCTGCCTTTAAATCTAGTTGTACAAACTTGTGGTTGTTTACTTAGCCTCTGCTCCTGGGCTAGAAACAGCAATAAATCCCCACACTGCCCTGTTCCTAAAAGCACATAAATCAGATTGTGCTTTTTTTTTTTTATAATTCACTTCCCTTTGAGACTGATTATTGATCCCTATAACTGTTGAAGATTTATTGCATAATAGTGATCCATCCTTGATAACTGGATAATCTCCTAAGGGTTCAGGGGCTTTTGCCATCAGTAGCTCATGCAGATGAAGCAAAGCTTCATAAACACATTTTTTGCTGCTTCTCTGGAATGGGCCAGTGATCAGGTGCAGGCTACAAATAGCCTTCCATGTCATGTCATGTATGCACCGAACAATGCTATTGCAATGCATATGCCCAAAGGGGCACAGCTAAAATGACCAGCTAAGGATTATTTATTTTCAGCTGTGGTTTTGCTTTCTCTTTTCCCGTTTTTTTTTTCCCCCTAACTGTCTTGCTTTCTTGGGCTGTATGATATAGAAACAAGCAGTTTTGTTGCCTTGTCTTTAAAGAGATTCTTTTTCCTACTGCTTTTTCTGTTCTCGATGGGCAATTACAGTCCTCTCGTCACCGTAGTATCTGAATGTCTTCCAGTGGTGCATTAAATAGTGTGACTAACATCTGTCACATGTGGTTCATTCGCTTTCTCTCTCTTTCTCATCCCCGCTCTTCTTCTTCCCAAGGGGAGACTTGCAGAGGGGGCAGAGTGCTTTGTTTCTGTAGTGGATTTTTAGTCTCTTTTTTTCCCCTGTAATGCTCACACTGCCCTATTTTTCTGTGAGATAAGGCGCTTGGAGGACACAGAGGGGAAGGTGATGGCAGTCCGGGCAGCCAGGAGTGCCCAGGGGAGTTGTTCGCGCAGCCTCAGCCATGGTGTCAGCTCCCTCACAGATGACTTCATCCTGGTGATAGAGAGCTCCTCTGGGCCGCTGGAGATGTGCTGCTGGGCACAGCCTTAATCCTAGGGCTGCTGGTCAGGAAGGGGTCTGCAGTGGTATTTTACAAATATCTGGAATGTCAGTGCTGTTTCCCTAAATATCTAGGGGCATGCTCTTGCTTTAGAGACAGTCACCATTATGTTGCATCTTAAGGAAATAATGGTATTCTCCTATATCATAATGTGAAGTAAATAAGTGAGGATTATTCTTTTCTTTTAAGTCTCAAAGCAACATTCACTTTGTTTCTCTGCCTCCTGGCTTGCGATCTCCTGATTCTCATAATAACATCCTTTTGGAATCAGTAACAGAATACTCCAGGGTCTTGGCCCGTAGGATGTGTGTTTTGAATAGGAATGATTAAACCTTCTTTTGAGGGAAACAAACAAAAAGACTTGCTTCCAAAACACATATGCACATATGTATGTGTATGCATATGTACCTAAAAATGCAAACAGCAAAATGTAATGCAGACACCTCTCTCCCTCTAACCCCTTTCTGGTCAGTATTACAGTAATGTGAAAGAGGTGCAGCCTCTCAGAAACATTTCCATTGTTCCCTTCATATTTGCTGATCCACCCTGTCTTGCATGAGAGCCCTTCCCTGCTGCCATATTCCCTTGATATTCCCTTGAAACCACCCAACTATCCATCCGTTCCTTCCTCTGACATCTGCTTTCCCTCAGCTTGTCAGTGCTCAAGGGCAAAGAGGAGCGCAGGAAAGAGGTAGCCTGGGATGCACATGTTCAAGAGACTGGGAGAGTTTCCAGAATCTGAGAAGCAGAACAGATTGGGGCCTATTCCTGGCTAGAGACCTATTTCCAGACGGCCAAAAAACATTCCTAACCCCTAGAACTAGCACCTGGGGATTAGATGAAAATAGGAGGGGAAGCGCCTCAATGTGGTTGTTGTTCATGTGTTTGCATATTATGTGCAATGACTCCTCTGCGATTTTGTGGTGATGAGCACAGAAGGGCAAGAAATGAAGGACAAGACACTCAAATGAGTAAGTCTAAGCACCCAGGATGCGAGAGATCCAAGTCTGTACTTGGCTTGGGCACACATTTGCTGAAGAAAATCACTAAATCACTTCATTGGTCTCTGCCTCGGTTTCCCCTCCGCTTTTGGGGAGACTCTTGTAGTGAGGTCTGTCTTGTGTTCCTGTGTAGTGCCTGCCACTCCAAATTCCTGTTCTGACTTGTGGCTACTAGACATTGTCAGACAACTAATACAAGAGAAGAGGAATGTCATAACACTGCCTTTGAAAAGAAATCAGGTTCCCAAACAGGAACATAGGGAACCAAGTAATGCACAGCCCACCCTCCTAGGTGTATAGGATGTCATGGCCTCTAGCCGCAGCCAGAAAGGGGTGTCACACTATGGAAATACAACCAAAAACAAAAACAACGAAGGATTGCTCCTGAGGCAGTTTTGAAATACCCAGTGCAGTTGGTTGGGCTTCAAGGAAGTGAAGCTGTTCCAAAAGCCAGTCTCTTGCACATTTTTTATGGGTCTTCAGGTGAGGTTGAAAAAAGCTGGTGCTGTGGTCTTTCCCTCTTCATCACTCCCAGTAGAAGTGTAAGGGAGCTAATGGGAAACCATTTTTCTCTTTCAAAGACATAGGTAAGTGACTTCTTACTGGATCTGATTTCTTCCATCATGTGTCAGGTCAGTTGAATCTCAGGATATAGAAGATCAATAGCCCAAGGTCTAACACTACTTTCTCCTTGTCTGGACCTCCCATAGGAGATGAGTGGTGGGGGCCCTGGAAAGTCAGCTCCTTCTGCCCTGCCCCTTGCTGTTGTTGGGGAGGGAAAACAATACCACGCCAAAGGTCTGGCAGCTCCTCAGCTTCCCAACCTGACCTTCTTCGCAGATCTGTAGGGCACAGAGCCCAAGCAGCTTCCTTTTGGAGGGGATACCATCTCCCTAAGAGTTAAAAGGTCTCTATTTAAGAGCACACACTCTCACTGAAGACCACTACAGTAAACCTCATCAAGTTTCACATAGGAAATGCTGTAATTAGGGTCACCCACATCACCACCATCTAGCCCTCTCCTCATGTGTCGGCATGGCGATGCTGGCTTTAATTACATGACACCCCATACTATTTTTTCCCACGGGACCCCAGCCCCCGGAGCACCGTGGACAGTGGTACCCTCTGAATGGATCACTACTCAATATTTTCCTTTGTCCTCATCACTCAGTGTCTGACTCCATGCATTATTTAGCGTGCTCTTCCAGCCCCCTACGTGCCACACAGAACTACATGCTTCCTCCTGGCCTTTTTGGCAGGGCTTTGTCCCAGGCTTTTGGATGAGGGGATAGGGCTCTCTCTTCCTGTCACTACTGGCTGGAAGGGGGGATCCAGGCTATTCCCACCCACCTGTGAGTAATTAAATGGTAGGGGGCTGCTGAGCAGTCAACTAACACCTGGTCCTGATAAAAGGCTGCCAGCACTTATAATAGGAGCTGCCTCCAGGGAGGGGAGCTCCTGCTGGAGAGTGAGTGATGCCTTGGGGAGCTATCTGAGGGGTGAGCTCCTGGACAACTATGGGAGGCCTCTCCTGTAAGGAGAGAAGCACTGCTAGCAGGAGGGTGTTGAGGTGGTATTTGGAGGGGGAGATTGGGTTGGGTTTTCTCTTGGATTATTTGGGGAGTTTTTTTGCTAGTGCAGTTACCAACACAAGTAGTTTGCCCAACTTCTTGCTTTGACTCAAAATAATGAATTTTTACTAAAGACTTCTCTGATGTTGGTGTTCTGTTCTCAGCTACCTGGCTTCCTCATCCTCTTCCTGGGTACCTCAACGAATGAGACAAGGTCTTTCAGCATGCAGCCCTGTCCTGTGCTGGGAGTACATCCAGCATGGATGCTGAGGAGAGGTGGGGTTAGGCCACACAAATCTATGCAAACTATTGTCTTCAGCATGTCTGTGCAAACAACAGAGTAAGGATGCACAGAAAACTTCAATTTTGATGGTGTTGGGCTCTAGAATACTTAATGCTGCAACGTTCAAGATCTTGTGTTACTATTTGTTGTATGCATGCAGCCCTAAATGGAGTTCCCTACTTCCAGAGCAGCAAGAAAATGAGGAAGTTGGATGATCAGAATGATCGTGCTGGCTACAAAAGGCTCTTGTGAAGTAATGGCAGGCTTGCAACCCCTCTTCACTCACCTGCTATCAAACTCGGTCACGTTGTGCAGCTGTTTACGGTAAGTCTCCAGCAATACCCAGTGGGAGCACTGGGCTGGCAGTGGATGCGGAGGGTGAGGCTTGGAGAAGCGAAACCGAATGGTGCCCATGTGGGTGAAGCAGATGTAGCAGTTGGGGAGGTAGGTGGCATTGTACACCAGCCAGTCCACACTCAGGATGGCATAGTCGTGCAGGTGTAAGACAGCACCTAGTGGGAAGAAAAGTATATTCTAATGAGACAAAGCAGCTGAGAAGAAGGAACCGAGGTTTAATATGGTAATAGTTTGAGTTTGCCCATCCAAGGGCATCTGGAAATGCTTCTAGATGGCTGAGAGTGACCTCTCCCAGCAGAGACTGCACGGCTGCTCTGCCTCTCCCATGCTGGGGGATGTGGCCCCCTCCACATCAAACACAGGGCAGGCAGAGCGTGACAGCTCCCTGGGAGTGGAGGGAGGGCAGAAATCAATAGGGAGCTCTGCTTCTCCGCTGGGATGGAAAATGCTCTGAGTTATTAAAGGTCTTTCAGACAGACTTTGCTGTGAGCTGGCTCAGGCCCCACTGATTTAAAGAGGAACTCACACAGTAGGCAGCAGTTTACAAGGCATGCTAGCTGACTTGCAGACCTGAAACAAGCCTCTGTATCTAAGCTGTTTGAATCCCTGCCTCAATTTTTGCATCTAGTCTGTGTCTGTTCTTTAATCTCTTTGAAACTCTGGCATACACCAAAATCCCAGACCATGACACACCAGGGAATTGCACTCAGATGCAGAGTACCATCTACTTTTATGCCTTATCAAAAGCATGCTCACTTACAATGTACATCTGCTGCTGGCCAGCACAAAAGGCCTCCGGGACGCTCTTATTGTGCAGTATATTGGCAACTGCCAGTCTTCCTGGCACCCGCTGTATGCTCACCTTCCTCAGCCCATCCTTTCGTTCAGCTAAAATCTTTCGTTTTGCAGAGTCTTCTTACATTTTAGGTGCTTGAACTAAACTTCACCTTTGTAAAGGGAAGATACTGTGAAAGCTGAAGTCTTACAAATATGTATTTTATTAGTCTAGGAGAGAGCTCATAGTCAAAATTGCTTTGATGCCGTTAGGGGTAAAGGGCAACATAGTTTAGTGTGTGTTGTCCCTGCTCATGGCAGGGGTGTTGGAACTAGATGATCTTAAGGTCCTTTCCAACCCTAATTATTCTATGAGTGGCAAGAACAATACAAAAGATTGGTGTGTATGTGACATTAGACAAACTTCAAGACTGCATCTTACAGTGGACTGATCTAATATAGCCTATATGGCCTATAATCTCCCACTACAGAGGGTCTGACTGTTAAGATGCTGAGCAACTGTGGTTTGCTGCTCTCAACAGAGCTAGTGTGACAGAATGGGCATGCCACAGCTATCTAGATCTGACCGTCCTCTTGCTGGCAATGTCACCCTCTTCCCTATGTGAGCAGCAACAGAAATTATAATCGTATGTGAAAAAACAGTAATTCCCAGGGCCTCTAAGACTATGTCCTTCTCAAGCAATGATCTTGGCCCTAAAAGCTTATGGCTCTTGAAAAGATTCCAAGAACCCATTTTAACAGCTTCTGGATTTAAAAGTTTTAATTTTTTTTGTTTGATTCTTCCTTGGTATCAAAGCTACTCTACTGGAGGTGAAGGAGGGAGTACTTTTCAATTCCTTACTGTTCAATTCAGTAGAAATGTTGAATTTCTATAAAATAATATATGAATATTATAATATATCTAT